CGCCGCACAAAGGTGGTCGAGCCCGCAGTCCGGACACGTGACCTGACCGGGAATCGAACCGTGACCTCCTGGTTCATAGGTCGATGCTAAACCACGGAGCCACCCCAGCTGGGTATCCCTGTGTCACCGCCTTTGCCCTGTCTCCGGATAAAACAAGCGCACGAGACTATAAAATAAGCGCAGGCGGCGGCGAGAGGAACCGCAGGCGATGGGGCCGGAATGCGGTGCAGGTGGGCGTGGGGATCACCAAGCAGGAGACAGGCCTGTTTTCACTGATGACGGACACGATGCGTTAACATCTGTGTTAAATGTTGACACCAAATGACCAGCACTTGTGTCCAGAAGCCAGAGAGACTCAGAGATTTTGAGAAAGGTTTTCGCTCTCTGGGAGCGGGCACCTCCGGACGGTGTGGAATCGTGTGGCTCCTGTCAGGAGTCTCCCTTCTGAGTTTCTTCAATGACTTGAGGGCGGCTTCATCCCCAGACCCTCTCATCTCCCACATTATCAGAAAGTCACTGAATGTGTCATTTTAATGGCAAAATTAGACTATTTTAGACGTTGCTAATGTACGTTGTAGTTTTAATAGAAGTGATCAGTGAGCAGGAATTAAGGGTCAAGAGAATGTTCTCACGGGTGACAGTGTCTTCGTAACTGTGCAGGGTACCTGTCCTTTTGGTTGTAAGTACTGAAATCAGCATATTCTCTCTGTGTGTTTTGTGAACCATTGAGTCCATTTGGCGTCCTTTCAGGTCATCTCCAGGTGACACTCCTAAAGGTGAGCGCACACAAGGGCTGCCCTGACAACCGGGTACAGAATTCCAAGGAGAACACACTTCCGTGTGGCAGTGACCGGAGGTACCGCAGGCCCAGGAGCAAAAGCAAAGGTGAGACCAGCAGGTGTGGCTACCCATGCAGAACAGAACCCGGGCGATTCACGAAGCCCAGGCCAGGAGCCTCAGGGCTGGGGCTCAGAGAAGCACATTTGGGGGTCTCAGCAGTGAGGGCACTGGCCCTGGAGGGGTGGAGCCCAGAGAGAGGGTGGGGCAGGGCCCTGCTGGAGGAGACCCAGAGGAGGGAGGGCGGAGAAGAGCAGCCATGGGGGGAAGGAGCTGCCCACGTGGACGTGGCCCTGGCAGCCTGGACCTGCCTCTTCCTGCCTTTATCCACCTGGAAGCCTCTCCTTCTGCAGTGACTCGATTCATGTTCAACGATTCGGGAAGTCTTTGCTAATGAAACAAGTCACATAATACAGAGGTATCTCATGGGAAAGTTTATAGTCTCTCTCTCAGCACCACCCTGCCCCACCCTTCCCTAATCTCCCTCTTCTGCAGAGAAACAAGTACTTTGAACACAAAGTACTTCCCCGTCTCTTTATTTGTTCAGTTCTTGACCAATATTAATTGAGCACCTACTATGTGGAGACTTGATCCAAGGCCCCGGGGGCACAAATATGAGTAAGGTGCAGGGGGCTCCGCACCTCCAAGGGGTTATGTCGTGGTGGAGGGAAGTACAAAAGGAGGGAGGTTTCTAGATGTAGAGGTGAAAGTGAGGGGTCCTTTCTGCTGGGGGGTCATTAGTTGGGGCTGAGAGAGTCTGAAGGGAGCAGTGGAGCAGGAGAGGGGGCAGTCTGGCTTCCCCTTGGAGATGACACATCTCGTCCACTTGCCGACATCAACAGAATTGGTGCTGCCTCCCCCCCCCCCCCCCCATGGCAACTCCACCTTCGTCATCAGCGAGGCTCCCAAACACACTCACCTGCAGGTGCTGTGTAGTCCTGGCTCATACCACACGCTCCACGACAGTCGCTGTCACAGCTCCTCTGGTAGTTATGCTGCAAGGACTGTTTCACTTCCTCATTTCTTCTTCCCGGGTTTCACTTTCCACCACTTCTAACCTGTCATTTGGATTTAAATGGTTTAAGATGTTAGACTTCTTTTCTCATGAAAACAACAACAAAGCCAAGAGCAATCCTGGTGAACCCGCCTGGACTGATTTGCCTTCTCATCTGTGAGCTCATTTGGGACATGGTGCTCTATGCCCTTTAGGAAAACGTCTCCTTCTTGGAAGTGTAAGCTGTGTAGCGCTCCTCTGTTCGTTCACTGTGTCACTGGGTGTAACTTACAGGTGAGTGCAAGGTCCTAGGTTCCCAGGTGGTACAACATCACCCAGACTGAGGCGGGCGATGTCCAGAACCCCAGATGGGGGTCCCTCCTGTCCCCTCCCAGCTGTCCCCCCTCCACAGGGAACCCGTGTGAACACTTCCAATACCACAGGTTGGTTTCTGCCTGACTTTGCACCTCATAGAAGTGGAATGAAACAACATGACTCCGTTGAGATGTGACTTTTTCCATTCAGTATTGTATCTGTGGACTCAGCTGACGCTCCCTGGAGGCTGATGGTGCTGTGAGAAGGAGAAAAACACACAACACACCCCAACAACCTGTCCGGTCTCAGTCATTCGTACTTCCACGAGGACAGCTGTCCCCCGCCATCCGCCACCCTCCCCAGATCTGCACGTGGCTGGGGGCCCTCATTGAACCCTTGTTTCAGGTTTAAATTGAGGGTCATGTACACGCTTCTCCCAATGGTACTGGCAAATTCAAATTGTCCTCGCACTCTAGAGTGAGTGTTTGTAGAGTCTGGAATGACAGGGCAAACGCCCTGACTTACTGTTAAGTTACATGCTCGTGTATTGTGTGGTGGTTGGACTATAGCTTTCACTTCCCTGATCTTGCACATTTTCTGCAGTGAGGAGGGAGCACGTTTAAAATCACAGACTTATCAGCTACATGGAACAGGAGTGAATTGTGATGCCCACCTCGTCCACGGCCCTGTGACACCAGGACTCAGGACTCACACGGGATGCGTGGCCATCAGGGCTCTCAAAGAAACAGCCTGCCCGGCCCACGTGGCTCAGTGGTTGAGTGCCGGCCTATGAACCAGCAGGTCATGGTTTCATTCCCGGTCGGGGCACATGCCCAGGTTGCAGGCTTGATCCCCAGTGTGGGATGTGCAGGAGGCAGCTGATCAATGACTCTCTCTCAGCCTTGAAGTCTATCTCTCTCTCCCTCTTCATTACTCTGAAATCAATAAAAAATGTATTTTAAAAGCCACCTCACCAGAGCACGACAATGCCACCAGCAAAGTGACACCCACCATGTATTGTCTTGGGCTGGGGGAGGCAGGGTGCAGGACTGGAATCGGTGGCCAGCGCTCCACAGGTTTAACCCCTCCTCCGTCCGTTCTTCTGCTGCCCCTCGCCCTGTCCTGCCCCACCGACCAGCCTCATCCCCTCTCCTCAGAGAGGCCGGGAAAATGAGCTCTAAGCGCCTGTGTCAGGGCTTTGCCTTTATGTCCCTCCTGGCTCTCCTGTCCCCAGTGCAGGACACTGGAGTCTCCAAATGAATCGCTGAAAGAAACTGAATTCATGGGTTTCCCACCGGCCATCCTGCTCAGAGTAACGACAACCGTCCCCTGAAAGGGTGCACAGGCGCAGAAGCTGGGGGTAGGGCCCCTCCTCTTTCCCATGTCCATCCCGGAGGAGAGGTGACATTGGACGTGAGCGGCCCTCAGGGTCCAGAGGAGACCACAGAAGCCAGCGCGGGAGCTGACACTGGGGAGCCGTGGGCCTGGGACACTGTGCCGAGGAGGGAGGCTGGTGCTGCCTCCCCCACGCTCCCCTCTTCTAGACACAACCTGCCTTTCAGCCCTCCAGGCCTGGAGGGAGATTCTGCCCTTAGAGGAAGGGCAGGGCGGGACCAACGTGAGCTGAGCTCCCCTTAGGAGCCACCCTGTAAGGGAAAGAACTGGACTCAGAGCCTTTGTCCGCCCATCACACAGAGGAGAACAGAGAGGCTCCCAGCAGGGCAGCCAGGATGGCCTGGGAGCAGAGGATTCGGGGTGTGCCCGCCTCAGGAAGGGGCACTGCTCGTCCTCTCCACCCCCAGTCTCGAGGAACGGGGGACTTTGTGTTCCAGGCTCAAGTGTGACCTGAGCCCCAGCTGGTAGAGTTTGTCCCCGAGGGGATGCCCCTCTTCCCACTGACTGTCCATCCGGCTCCTCTCAGACCACCCTGTGCAGGCCCCACACTCCCTCCCAGGGGACATGCTCAGCTCAGGGAGGGCAGGGCCAGCCCCAAGGAGTCCGACCCTGGCCGCCCCACTGAGGACCAGGCTGCTCCCTTTCAGGCCGGCTCCTCTCATCCTATAAACATCATTGACTTTTTCTTGACCCTCCCATGAAGGTCCCCACAAAAGAGAAAGCCCTTTGCACTTTGCAGGTGTTTCTTGAACAATTTGGACTTCATGACACACTTACAGAGGAAAAGACATTTTATGGAGATTCTTAATCTTTCATTTTATTGTTTTGGATTTAAAATCAATAACAAAAATAATCATTTCCCTAAAAGGAAAAAATGATTCTGATAGTAATGAATAGAATGTTACTGGTGTGCATTTGGAGCATATCATAGATTTTAAATGAAAAGTAAATCAATCAGATCTTTTAATAATTCCCTATGAGCTCATTCGCTGCCTTTTGCTGGTTTCTTTGGATCAGGTTGGAGATGCGGCACGTGATGCGTTTTCATTTCTTGAAGAAAGTGTTTGATGCGTCGTTCACCAGAAGACCCCGACTGTTTAGAGAGATTGAGTCCGTCCTTCAGTTTCCCTGATTCTGGATGGAGAAGGAGGAGGTGAAGGAAGCAGGGAGTGAGGCAGGTGGGAAGGTGAACAGAGCAGAGTCTGGGGCAGTCACAGGAGGGGAAGGAAAAGGGGCGCAGGAGGGGAGAAAGCAGAGGGACTGTGAGACCTGAGGGGAGGGATGGAGCTGGGGCCCAGGAGGGAGCAGGAGACCCAGAGGCAGAGACAGGCCCAGGGAGAGAAGGGGAGGGGGGAGCAGGAGTGAGGAACCTCACCCTGAGAATGCTCTCCAGCTTCTGACATTGGGCTCCTATGTTTTCTAACAGTTCAATCTCGGGCTCGAACGGCTGGCCCTGGTTGTCCACGAAGGTGACCCAGCAGTGCTGGAGCTCTATGGGAACAGGGAGGGAAAGGTGAGCTCCTTCTATAGCCCAGGGAGGGCCCAGGTCTCCGACTCTAGGGACACACCCTCCCCATCAGGATCTCCCTGCCCCCTTTCTCTCTCCTCCCAAGGCACTGAGCTCATCCCTCAAATTCTTTCTTCCACTGGAATCTGAGGCAGCCCCTCCCCTTCTACCAGGAAGTATTTGGGTCCTGATGGCACAGGGACCCACCTCCCCCCTTCCCAGGACCATCTCTGTCCCCTGAACTCTCTCCTCCAGGGGACTCCATCCTCTCCAGAACCAGCACACCCCCCCCCAAACCCCCCCCCCCCCCGGCCGGCACCTGAAAGGGTTCCCCACCTGGATTCTCCTCCTGCCCCCTCTGTGCAGCCATTTCCCAGCCTCTCTGGATGCCCACCTCCCACCCTCAGGAGTCCCTGCTGACCTTTGAGGGTCATGATGGTGAGATGGTCCACAGCGTCCTGCAGCTGGCGTAGCCCATCCTCATAGCCACGGTATTTAGTATGGATGCGAGCAGCAAAGATGCGCAGGCTCACATGGCTGTTCTCGCCCAGAAATTCCACCAGTTTTGAGGCACAGTCAGGGCAGGGGCTCCAGGAGATGTGCCAGGTGAGTCTGTACTGCTTCCCCTCATCCAGGTGCCAAGAACGGACCCCATGCAGGAAGCACAACTCTGCATGACGGAGTACCTGAGCACAGAGGGGGGAGAGGAGGGACCTGTCACTTGCTGTGAACAGGGGAGGGTGGGACCAGCCAGAGGCAGGTGAGGCACTGGCCTCCAGCACAGAATTGAAGGGGCACAGCTCAGCATCAGGGTGAACGCTATTTCAATGCAGGATCTACACAAAGGGAAGGCGACTCATGAATCACATAATATCAGCATCTACAAAGGGCAGAGGAGCAGTGAGGACTTGTTCTACCTCAGCAAACCATGGCTCCCATGGCTCTGTAACTGATCAGTCTTCACTTAGCCTGTTGATATTCAGCCAAACCGGACAGGGCTAGATTTGATTTTTTAAACTATTGCATTAATCATGGTTCTTTTTTCAAATCCTCACTTGGGGAGATTTTTTTCATTGATCTTTAGAGAAAGAGTGAACGGATGGAGGAGGGGCAGCGAGAGAGAAACATCAATGTGGGAGAGACACATCCACTGGTTGCCCACCCCACGCTCCACGAACCGGGGTCAGGGATCAAAGCTGCAACTGAGATATGTGCCCTTGACCTGGAATCCTACCCCTGGCCCCTGGCTGTGCAGGCTGACGCTCTAACCACTGAGAACACAGTTCTGGGCTCCCTGTGATTCACCTTGGTACAGAGTCCCGGAGAGCCTCTATTTTGTGCCCAAAGCCTATGCCTTCAGAAGCTGCCCCTAGTCAGGCCCTGCAGGGAGACAAAGAGCTGAGGGCAGCCTCCGGTGTGGCTCAGTGGGTTGAGCAGGGACCCAGCCACAAACAGGTCACTGGTTCCATTCCTGGTCAGGGCCCAGGCCCAGGTTGCAGGCTTGACTCCCAGTAGGAGGTGTGCAGGAGGCAGTCAACCAATGATTCTCTCTCATCACTGATGCTTCTATCTCTCTTTCCCTTCCTCTCTGGAATCAATAAAATTCTTATAAATAAATAAATATAAATCAATAAATAGCTGCGGACAGAGGGAGGAGGCAGCTGAGCCCCAAGGTCCTGGGCCAGATGCCACAGGGGTGGGTGCTCCCCCCAGGCAGGGGAGCTCTCCCTCGGCTCCCCTACCTCCAGCTCCCGCCTGTGCACCAACACCTCCACATGCTTCCACTCTGGGCTTCCCCCTGTGCTGGGCCCAAGGGTGACACAACTCTGTGGGAAGAAGGGGTGAGGGCACCGAGGCAGAGGTGCGGGAGACATGGGATAAGTGTTGCTGCTGGGCTCCCAGGATTATGGAGATTAGCCCACCCGCCCAGGGAAGGGTTTTCAACCAGGGGCTCAGGGAGGAGGAGAAGTCAGGCCCACGGAGGTAGCGCAGAGCCCTGGTGGCAGTGGATGGTACCTGGGGACCCAGAAGGCATCCTGGGCTACGTGCAGCTGGCAGTGCACTTGTGGGGACAGCACCCTGGCAGGCTGTCCCAGGAGTGACTGGAGGGAGCACCAAGGGGGAGCTCTGGCTCTCTGGCCAGAGGCGGCCCTGGCGGGTCTAGGGGAGAACGGCCCCTTTGTCCAGGTGCCTTTCCCTCTGGCCTGACCCCTCCTCAGAGGCACAGCAGGAGGGACAGGCTGACCCTGGAGGCTGGGCTGACCCTGGGCTGGTGGGCCCAGGCCCTGGGACACTGTGACTGCTTTCTGATGTGGGGCTCCAAGCTGCCAATCACAGCAGAGTCCGTCCTCCCTGCCTCTGGGCAACGCCACAGCAGCTGGGGGCCCAGGGACATTGCTCAGAGGACACCACGCGGGCATGGGACCTTCTCCCAGAGTGTCCCGGGGCCCTGCCTGCTGTGCTCGCTCACCTGGTTGCGCAGGAAGCCCTGGAGCTCCTCCACTGGGGCCCAGGCGTCACCCTCCCGGAACTCCACCTCGTACCACAGGTATGTTTTTTCTCCCAGTTGTGACCGAAGTTGTCCTTGAAGGTGGTTGCATCCATCAGGGGTCTGTGGGCACAGGCAGGAGGAACCCAAGGCATGGGGCTCCTCTGGGGGAGCTGGGACACCTAACCTCCCACAGACCTCTTCGGGGCTCCTGGGGGAGTCAGGCTAGTCCTTTTGTCAGGGTCCCCCCCCCCGGGAGCAGTGCAGGGGCTCAGAGCTCTGACGGGGCCTCTCCTGGCATCACGGTCCTGCCCTCGTCCCGCTGACCCAGCCCTGCCAGGTGCAGCCCAGTGGCGCTGTTTCCTCTGCTCTTCTGGGATAACCTGAGCCACATGGTGCATCAGGGGAAAGGGTGGCCCCATCGAGGAAAGGAGAAGCAAAACTAGTCTTCTCAAATAACTCATCACATTTCCCTTCTCATCATGAAAACCGACGTGTCCTTTACAAAAACCAAAACATAAACCTGAACATGACCTAGGGCAGTGATGGCGAACCTTTTGAGATCAGCGTGTCAGCATTTTGACCAACCCTAACTTAACTCTGGTGCCGGGTCAAACATAGAAATTTTTTGATATTTGCAACCATAGTAAAACAAAGACATATTTTTGATTTATTTTATATATTTAAATGCCATTTAACAAAGAAAAATCAACCAAAAAAATGAGTTCGCTTGTCACCTCTGACGCACCTGTCATAGGTTCGCCATCACTGTCCTTGGGCCTCACTTCAGAGCAGAAAGAATAAATTTCATGGGAGACGGAGGGAGAGGAGAAACGGGGACCCTCAAGGGTGACCCCCAGATTCTAGCCAGGGGCTTAGGGGAGGCGGGTAGGACAGGCCAACTGGGCATCAGCTCAGGGGTCCTGGACATAGAAGGGCCATCAGGAGGGACAGGAAAAGCAGGGGGTTTTCTGAGGAGAAGCCAAGTCCCCTCAGGGAGCCAGGAGGAGGGGCTCAGAAGCAGGGCTGCTCCAGGGGCGGGTGGTACCTGCCAGTTGGTGCTGGGTTGTCCTCCATGTCTCAGCTCCTTCATCTTCTCTTCTAGCCACAGGCTGTCCTCCTCTTGGCTCGCTTTCAAGGACTGAGGTGCCTTGTATGTCAACAGAGCATGTGGAACCTGCTGAGCTGGTTCTGCTGCGCCCCACCCCTTCCCTAAACTCAGGCCACTCATGGCACCCTATGGAGTAATAGAACTTTTCTGTCCAAATGTCTCATCCTGTGTCCTCAGGGGCAACTTAGCTTTTGATTTCTCTGTTCTGACAAAGGCCCTTTCTGGACTGACCTGGGCCAGTGAGGTCCCAGGAGGTGGGGTCACCCTGGGCAGCACGGCACAGCCAGGCAGGAGGCGAGAGTGCAGGTGAGAGGACAGGTGCTCCTACCTGAGGGGAGTCCGGGCACAGGACACGGAGCCCCCACAGGACAGGCCCCGGGTGCCCATCTCTGACTCTCCTGCGGCCGCCAGTGCAGGGCATGGCCAGGCCCAGTGCAGGGACCTGCTGGGCTGAGCCTGGAGGGAGACTCCGTCCTGAGAGGAAGGGCAGGGCGGGACCAAGGTGAGCTGAGCTCCCCTTAGGAGCCACCCTGAATGGAAGGAACTGGACTCGGAGCCTTTGTCCGCCCATCACACAGAGGAGAACAGAGAGGCTCCCAGCAGGGCTGGGCCAGGATGGCCTGGGAGCAGAGGATGCAGGGTGTTCCCGCCTCAGGAAGGGGCACCGCTCGTCCTCTCCACCCCCAGCCTCGATGAACGGGGGACTTTGTGTTCCAGGCTCAAGTGTGACCTGAGCCCCAGCTGGTAGAGTTTGTTCCCGAGGGGATGCCCCTCTGTCCCACTGACTGTCCATCCGGCACCTCTCAGACCACCCTGTGCAGGCCCCACCCTCCCTCCCAGGGGACGTGCCCAGCTCAGGGAGGGCGGGGCCAGCCCCAAGGAGTCCGACCCTGGATGCCCACACTGAGATCCAGGCTGCTACCTTTGAGGCCGGCTCCTCACATCCTTCACCTGTAATACAGGATCCCCCTCTTTCTGGGCTGGGCGCCCCTCCACATGCACAAACAGGTGTCCTCTGCACGGAGCCCCTCCCACCTGCTCTGTCCTTGGACCTTGGTGGCCCTGGGAGCAGCCATGCTGTCCTGCTGGAGGCTCAGGGCTTTGCAGGCGTGGAACAGGCACATCCGGGTGTGTTGTGGGTTCTGCTAGTGTTGCTACTTCATTGGTCACAATCTCCATCCAAACACACCGTCCACACCCAGGAGTTTCCAGAGACCAGGCCTGGGGTCCCTGAGAATCTCCCCGGTGCTGCCCTCAGATCCTGCGTCCCAGGAAGGGAGAATGCTGTCAGATCCAGGCCAGTCCCCTCCTGCACCTCAAGGTCTCCTCCTGTCATGCAACCCACAACGCTCTTCTGAGTCCACACCCCACCCCAGCACCAGAGGGCGGTCTCCTGGCACAAACCCTTTGCTGAGGGCAGCAAGTGCAAAGTCCTAATGCACAAGGCCCGGTGCCCTGGGGGCCCTGGAAGGTGGCGCCCCAGGCCTACCCTGCCCCTCCCAGGTGCCCCTGCAGCCAGAGGGCAGCACCCTGGGCTCAACTCTGCATTGCATGCCCGCCCGAGCGCATAAGGCTCTTCTGGGGCATCTATGGGACCCAGGAGGGGCCATCACCCCAGGGACAGCGCTGTGCTCCCCTGTCCCTGATGGACGTCTCACCGCCAGTCTAGCTCCTCAGCCAGCAGCTCTGAGGTCTCTTCTGGAAGTTTCCCCAGGACCTCCTCCCTCCCCACACCCTCTCCCCCCAGCCAGGCGTCCTGAGCTGCTCTCTGCTGATGCCTGGCTGCCCCTCTGTTATGCGGACCAGCCTGGCCCTGCTGGTCTCCACACCCGGGAGTCCGCTCTGCAGTGAGTGGCGAGTACAGAGGTGGCCAGGAGAGCCCTGTGAAGACCAGGGGCCGCCATGAGTAAGAGGTTTGCACCTCCTCCCAGAGGTTTCATGTCTTGTGTTGTTTGTCTGAGTCAAGTCTCCAAGGGGCAGGAGGAGAGGATGCCTGCGCGGCCCTCACCTCTGTCTCGGTCCCTGCCCTCCCCGGGCCCCCATCCACGCATCCTCTCCCCGGCTCCCCCCCGGAGCCTGGCCCCCTGGGTGCAGGAGAGGCGAGGGCACCTGCTCTTCCTCCGGGTCTCCCTCAGCCAGGCCAGCACCTGGTGTGGTAAAGGCATCAGTAGAGCCTAGTGTTGAACTGGTTTCAAGCGGCCTGGCCCACAGCGAAGTGGGGAGCGGGGAGCATGCCTCTCCCGGGCCCGTGCGATGAGAAGAAGGAAGGGAAGGAACCCTGTGTTTTCTGGGGAAGGACAGTCCCTCCCCATGTCCATCTCTGGAAGGTTGAGTGAAGAATGTAAAGTAATTCCTACATCCTTCTGGAGTTTTCTACCGAAATGTGCAAACTTCTGAACAGGAGGAAGGATGCAGGCCCAGGGGGAGAGGGCGGGGGTGGGTGCGGGGGAGCGGCCCCTGGGCAGGTGCACGCCGTGCTGGGATGTGTGCTGTTCCCTTGTCAGGGAAACGGGGGACAGGGTGGGGTGCCCCGGGGAAGCCCAGGCTGAGGTCAGAGAGCCAGGCGGGCCCACTCTGCCCTGTCGCTCTGGGCCTGGGATGGATGATCTGGATGTGTCTGGAGTCAGGGCCAGGCTGCTCTGTAGGAGGTGTCAGGTCTGCGGTCCTGAGCCCCAGCCCAGCCCCGGCCTCAGCACTGTTCCCAGGCTGTCTCAGCCCCTCTCCAATCTCAGGCCCTGGGCCACGGGCAAAGCTCTGAGATGGGGGCCCGGGAGATGGGGGTGGAGGAGCACAGTAGCACCACCTGTCCTCTGCTCGGGGTGCCCCCTCCACCCGGACACGGCACCTTGTGGATGTTTTGGTCCCTTGTTCCCAGAAATGGAGATGGGGCCCTGGTTGGTTTTGCTCAGTGGATAGAGCATTGGGCCTGGGACTGAAGGGTACTGGGTTCGATTCCTATCAAGGGCACCTGCCCAGGTTGCAGGCTAGGTCCCTAGTAGGGAGCGTGCAGGAGGCAGCCAATCAATGATTCTCATCATTGATGTTTCTAATCTCTCTATCCCTCTCTCTTCTTCTCTGAAATCAATAAAAATATATATATTAAAATGAAAAAAAAAAAGAAATGGAGATGGGCCTTCTGTCAAAGCCCAGAAATGGAAAAAGAAGGAGCAGTTGGGAGGTTGAGGTTCTTCCCGTAAAACACACCTGGGGAGTGTTGACATCTCCTGTTTCGGTCAGAGAGGAGGGAGGCATCAGGTGTGTCCGGGAATCCTGACGTGGTTCCTTTTTGTCACGTGTGAGCGAGTGAGCCTGTGCCCCTTGCGTCTGGGCCAGGGATGGGATGGGCAGGTTGGCACAGGCACAACTGAGGGTGAGGCCTGCTCTTGACATATCTGTGGCTTTTAAGGTCCTGGCGACATTGAGGGGGAGCTGGCTGGTCTCACCTCCCCAGGGTCACAGCCTGCAGACGGGGCAAGGTGTGCGGCCTCCCACAGCCCCGAGGAAAGAGCGTGGGGCCCTTCTCCCTGGGAGTCCTCGGCCTCAGCCCCTGGCTGCCAGCGGGGCCCAGGCTCCTCCTCTGCTGGGTTTGCATCCTGACTGCCAGGAGCCGGCCAGTGGGGAGGGGACCCTCCGCACAGAATCAACCCTCGACAATTGAGTCTGTTATTGTTACTCTCCACTTACCAGCGTCCACCTGCTCCAGAGCCTCAGGCAGGGGGAGGGAAGCCTGAGTTCCGTCCGCAGATCCCGGGTTTTGCGTGTTGTTTTCTGCTCCCAAGAACCCCTGAGTCCTGTGAGGACAGTGGCTGGAGGCTGGCTCTGTTTCTCTGTTCCTGATGATATGGAGAGCTGTGGCTGTCCCTGTCCCTGTCCCTGTCCCTGGTCCTCAGGTTTAATGAGCTGGAGACCTGTGGCTGTCCCCTGTCCCCGGTCATTGGCTCTGGGCCAGGGAGGGTGTGGCTCTGTTCTCGGAGGGTGCCCCCTCCTGGTGGTGAGTTAGGCCTTAGGAGTGTGAGCCCCCAGATCCTTTTCTGGTCCCTCTCAGCTCCCTCTGCCGTGTATACAGCAGGTGCTCAGGGTGTGTGCACACTCAGTGACTTGCAAAGACTTTGGGGAGGTGGAAGGGCTTTGGGGAAGTAGGAGCCCGGCTTCCATCCAGCTCTCGGGCGAGGATTTCGCTCATCGCAGCAGCCACAGCGACCTGGGCGTTCACCGTGCCCAGTCCGCACAGACGCCCGTTTTCCTTTTATCGACAATTCCTTTTGTTTTTATCCTCACCCGAGGATATTTTTCCATTGATTTTTAGAGAGAGTGGAAGAGAGGCAAAGACAGAGAGAAACACCGATGTGAGAGAAACATACCGACTGGGCGCCTCCTGCACAAGCCCTGACCAGGGCCCTGGTTGGGGAGGATCCTGCAACCAAGGTCCATGCCCTTCACCAGAACTGAACCCGGGACCCTTTGGTCCGCAGGCTGACGCTCTCTCCACTTGGACAAACCAGCCAGGGCAGCACATTCCATTCTATAAAGTCCGAGATGCTTGAGGACTCAGTGCCTGTCTTCTCCCACTGGTGTCCTCGGACTCCCAGGGGCTGCCCACCTGCAGGCATCGGCCCTCATCCCAGGCAAAGGGAAGCACATAAGACCCACCCCAGGCCTGCGAGCCCGCATGTCTTTTTGGTGACAGGTGTCGCTGTCCACCATGAGGGTGACGGAGGAGAACCCCACGAGTTCACAGTTTCAGCTGGAGCGTGAGACCCCACTGGTCCTCCTTGAGGCTGCCCCTCCGTCTGGGCGCCCCCAGCCCTGGCCGCCTCCGTCCCCTCTGAGGGGCTTGGGAAGGAGGACCTGCTCAGGACACTGAGGTGAGGAGTCTGGATGGGGCGGCAAAACGAAAGGGGCCGGGACCAAACACGCACACACACACACACACACACACACACAAGACACACACACAGACACACACAGACACACACACACAGAGACACACACACACACACACACACACACACAGAGACACACACACACACACACAAAGACACAGACACACACACAGAGACACACACACACAGACACACAAAGACACAGACACACACAGACACACACACACACAGACACACGCAGACACACACAGACACACACAGACACACACAGACACACACACACAGACTCACACACACAGACACACACACTCAGACACACAGACACAGACACACATAGAAACACACACAGACATAAACACACACACAGACACACACACACAGACACACACCCACCCACACATACCCACACACCCACACACACACACAGACACACACACAGACTCACACACACACAGACACACACACAGACACACACAGAGACACACACACACACTCAGCAGATGACAAGCAGGAATCTCCTAGGTTCTCCAGACACACCCACAAGCCCCCATCTGAGTGGCAGGAAGCAGAGGACATCCCCACTCCCAGGCGGGTTTGCCAGAACCTCATCATCGAATCAGCTCCTTGGGTTTGGATACCTGGACTCTGGCAAGAGCCCCCACTTCTCTTCCTGGAAGCCACTGACCAAGACGCAGTCACTCTGGGAAAGCAGACGAGCGGGTAGAAGACACGTGGTCTCACATGACAAGAGGGGTCCCCACTCTCTGCGCTGTCACATGCAGGTCCAGGCAGACCTGACCCCCTGCTCCCAGGGCCCCGTCTCCCTGGAACCGCAGGCTCAGAGCTTTGCCCCTGACACGGGGACCTGAGACCTCGGAGAGGGTAGCTCACATCTGAGGACACGGCTGAGCCCTGGGCTCCCCACCTCAGCCTGTCCTCCTGCAGGAAGGCCACCTGCGGGAAGGCAGACCTGGGCCTCATGCAGAGCAGCCTCTTGCCCGGCCAGTGTGGCTCAGTAGTTGAGCATCGACCTATGAAGCAAGAGTTCTCGGTTCAATTCCCCGTCAGGGCACATGCCGGGTTGTGGGCTCGATCCCCAATGAGGGGGGTGCAGGAGGCAGCCGATCAATGATTCTCTCTCATCATTGATGTTTCTAAGTTTATCTCCCTCTCCCTTCCTCTCTGAAATCAATAAAAAAAAATATTACAATGAAACATACAACTACGTGTCTTCTGATTTGATGATGAGGAGCTGATTCGATGATGAGGTTCTTGCAAACCCGCCCGGGAGTGGGAACGTCCTCTGCTTCCTGCCACTCAGACGGAGGCCGGTGGGTGTGTCTGGAGAACCTAGGAGATTCCTGCTTGTCATCTGCTTGCGTATGTGTGTGTGTGTGTCTGTGTTTGGTGAGTCAGAGCAGCCTTCGGGCGCATTGCCCAGACACAGCTGTGTGCCAAGCCCGATCTTTGTCGTATCTGTGGCACCTGCGGTGGGACCACCAGCTGGAAGCAAGGGAATCAGCCACAGCCACGGAGTCAGCATGCAGTGTTGAGTGCACTGGGGACAGACCCGGGGCTGCGCTGGCATGTTCCCTGGGAGGGAGCGTGGGGCCGGCACAGGGTGGTCTGAGAGGAGCCGGATGGACAGTCAGTCGGACAGAGGGGAATCCCCTTAGGGACAAACACTACCAGCTGGGGCTCAGTTCACACTTGAGCCTGGAACACAAAGTCCCCCGTTCATCGAGGCTGGGGGTGGAGAGGACGAGCGGTGCCCCTTCCTGAGGCGGGCACACCCTGCATCCTCTGCTCCCAGGCCATCCTGGCCCAGCCCTGCTGGGAGCCTCTCTGTTCTCCTCTGTGTGATGGGCGGACAAAGGCTCCGAGTCCAGTTCCTTCCCCTACAGGGTGGCTCCTAAGGGGAGCTCAGCTCACATTGGTCCCGCCCTGCCCTTCCTCTCAGGGCAGTGTCTCCCTCCTGGCTCAGCCCCGCAGGTCCCTGCACTGGAGCCCGCGGGAGAGTCAGGGATGGGCACCCGGGGCCTGTCCTGTGGGGGCTCCGTGTCCTGTGCCCGGACCCTCCTCAGGTAGGAGCACCTGTCCTCTCACCTGCGCTCTCGCCTCCTGCCTGGCTGTGCCGTGCTGCCCAGGGTGACCCCACCTCCTGGGACCTCACTGGCCCAGGTCAGTCCAGGAAGGGCCTTTGTCAGAACAGAGAAATCAAAACCTAACTTGCCCCTGAGGGCACAGGATGAGACATTTGGCAGAAAAGTTCCCTCTCCTATGACACTATGTGGGTGGCATGAGTGTCTTTAGTTTTGGGAAGGGGTGGGGCTTAGCAGGGCCAGCTCAGCAGCTTCCAGGTGCTTCCATGGCATATAAGGCACCTCAGTCCTTGAAAGCGTCCCAGACACAGGACGGCCTGTGGCTAGAAGAGAAGGTGAAGGAGCTGAGACATGGAGGACAACCCAGCACCAACTGGCAGGTACCACCCGCCCCTGGAGCAGCCCTGCTTCTGAGCCCTTCCTCCTGGCTCCCTGAGGGACTTGTCTTCTCCCCAGGGGACCCCCTGCTTCTCCCGTCCCTCCTGATGGCCCTTCTTTGTCCAGGACCCCTCAGCTGATGCCCAGTGGGACTATCCTACCCGCCTCTCCTAAGACCCTGGTTAGACTCTGGGGGTCATGTTTGAGGGTCCCTGTTTCTCCTCTCCCTCCATCTCCCATGAAATCTATTCTTTCTGCTCTGAACTGAGGCCCTAGGACAGTGATGGCGAACCTATGACAGGTGAGTCAGAGGTGACACGCGAACTCATTTTTTTGGTTGATTTTTCTTTGTTAAATGGCATTTATATATATAATATAAATCAAAAATATAAACCTTTGTTTTACTATGGTTGCAAAGATCAAAAATTTCTATATGTGACACGGCATCAGAGTTAAGTTAGGGTTTTTCAAAATGCTGACACACCGAGCTCAAAAGGTTCGCCATCACTGCCCTAGGAGGTCACGTTCAGATTTATATTTTTGTTTTTGTAAAGGACATGACTGTTTTCATGATGAGAAGGGAATGTCATGAGTTATTTGAGAAGACTAGTTTGGCATCTCTTTTCTCCGATGGGGCCACCCTTTCCCTTGATGCACCATGTGGCTCAGGTTAACCCAGAAGAGCAGAGGAAACAGCGCCACTGGGCTGCACCTGGCAGGGCTGGGTCAGCGGGACGAGGGCAGGATGGTGATGCCAGGAGAGGCCACGTCAGAGCTCTGAGCCCCTGCACTGCTCCCGGGGGGGACCCTTAAAAAGGACTGGACTGACCTCCCCAAGAGCCCCCAAAGGGTCAGAGAGGGAGGTTAGGTGGCCCAGCTAAGTGAGTGGATGCCCGTCCTCTGTGTGTCTAGCCGGGATGTGTGTGCAGAGGGGAGGAGAACGGGGTGATCTCCAGAGGAGCTCCATGCCTTGCTTCCTCCTGCCTGTGCCCACAGAACCCTGATCAATAAAGCAACCTTCAGGAGAAACTTCGGTGACAAATGGGCAAACGAAACATACCTGTGCTACGAGGTGGAGGTCCGGAAGGGCGATGCCTGGGCCCCAGTGGAGGGGCTCCAGGGCTTCCTGTGCAACCAGGTGAGCGAGCACAGCAGGCAGGGCCCCGGGACACTCGGGGAGAAGGTTCCCATGCCCGCAGGTGTCCTCTGAGCAATGTCCCTGGCCCCCAGCTGCTGTGGCGTTGCCCAGAGGCAGGGAGGACGGACTCTGCTCTGATTGGCAGCTTGCAGCCCCACATCAGAAAGCAGTCACAGTGTCCCAGGGCCTGTGCCCACCAGCCCAGTGTCAGCCCAGCCTCCAGGGTCAGCCTGTCCCTCCTGCTGTGCCTCTGAGGAGGGGTCAGGCCAGAGGAAAAGGCACCTGGACAAAGGGGCCGTTCTCCCCTGGCCCCAGCCGGGCAGCCTGTGGTCAGAGAGCCAGAGCTCCCCCTTGGTGCTCCCTCCAGTCACTCCTGGGAGAGCCTGGAGGGTGCTGTCCTCACAAGTGCATTGCCAGCTGCACGTAGCCCAGGACGCCTCCTGGGTCCCCAGGTACCATCCACTGCCACCAGGGCCTTGCGCTAGCTCCATGGGCCTGACTTCTTCCTCCTCCCTGAGCCCCTGGTTGAAAACCCTTCCCTGGGCGGGTGGGCTAATCTCCATAACCCTGGGAGCCCAGCAGCGAGGCTCATCCCGTGTCTCCCGCACCTATGCCTCGGTGCCCTCACCCCTTCTTCCCGCAGAGTTGTGTCACCCTTGAGCCCAGCACAAGGGGGAAGCCCAGAGTAGAAGCCTGTGGAGGTGTTGGTGCACAGGCGGGAGCTGGAGGTAGGGGAGTAGAGGGAGAGCTCCCCTGCCTGGAGGAAGCACCCACCCCTGTGGCATCAGGCCCAGGACCTTGGGGCTCAGCTGCCTCCTCCCTCTGTCCTCAGCTATTTATTTATTTACTTATTTAAGTGACTTATAGATTCCAGAGAGGAAGAGAGAGAGATAGAAACATCAGTGATGAGAAAGAGACCATTGGTTGGCTGCCACCTGCACGCCCCCTACTGGGAATCAAGCCTGCAACTTGGGCCTGGGTCCTGACCAGGAATGGAACTGGTGACTTCTTTGTGGATGGGTCGCTGCTCAACCCACTGAGCAACACTGTCTGGGATGTCCTCAGCTCTTTGTCTCACTGCAGGGTCTGAGTAGGTGCAGCTCCTGAAAGCATAGGCTTTGGGCACCAAATAGAGGCTCTCTGGGAACTCTGTACCAAGGTGAATCACATGGAGCCCAGATCTGTGTTCTCAGTGGTTAGAGCGTCAGCCTGCACAGCCAGGGGCCCGGGGTAGGATTTCAGGCCAAAGGCACTTATATCTGTTGCAGCTTTGATCCCGGGCCCCGGGTCGTGGAGCGTGGGGTAGGCAACCATTGGATGTGTCTCTCCCATGTTGATGTTTCTCTCTCCCTGCCCCCTCCTCCATCCCTCCACCCTTTCTCTAAAGATCAATGGAAAAAATCTCCCCAAGAGAGGATTTGAAAAAAGAACCATATTTAGCACTAATCGGTTTAGCTCGGTGGATAGAGCGTTGGACTGTGGACTGAAGGGTCCCAGGTTTGATTCCGGTCAACGGCATGTACCTTGGTTGCGGGCACATCCCCGGTGGGGAGTGGGCAGGAGGCAGCTGATGGATGTTTCTCTCTCATCAATGTTTCTGACTCTCTATCCCTCTCCGCTCCTCTCTGTAAAAAAAAAAAAAAAAAAAAAAAAAATCAATAAAATATATACATTTTTAAAAAGAACCAAAACTTTAAAAAATTAAACCTAATGCAAATTCCATGGTGAATGAAATATCAACAGGCTAAATGAAGACTGATCAGTTCCAGAGCCATGGGAGCCATGGTTTGCTGATGTAGGAAAGTCCTCACTGCTGATGTGCCCTTTGTAGATGCTGATATTATGTGATTCATGAGTTGCCTTCCCTTTGATCGTGTAGATCCTGCATTGAGATAGCGTTCATCCTGACGCTGAGCTGTGCCCCTTCAATTCTGTGCTGGAGGCCAGTGCCTCACCTGCCTCTGGCTGGTGCCACCCTCCCCTGTTCACAGCAAGTGACATGTCCCTCTTCTCCCCCCTCTGTGCTCAGGGTGCTGACACACACAGGCAACACTGTCCTGAAGGGTTGTGCTTCCTGGATGGTAACAATCACAGGAATCCCAAACCTCGTGCAGAGTTGTGCTTCCTGGCCCTGTTCCAGCCTGGGCACCTGGATAGGAAGGAACAGTACAGACTCACCTGGTACATGTCCTGGAGCCCCTGCCCTGACTGTGTTCCACAACTGGTTGACTTCCTGCACGAGAACAGACACGTGCAGCTGCGCATCTTCGCTGCTGGCATCTACACCTTTGTCAGTGGCTATGAGGATGGGCTGCGCCAGCTGCGGGACGCTGGGGCCCAACTCGACATCATGACCTTCAAAGGTCAGCAGGGACTCCTGAGGGTGGGAGGTGGGCGGGCAGGGAGGCTGGGAAATGGCTACACAGAGGGGGCAGGAGGAGAATCCAGGTGGGGATGACTGTCAGCTGCCTGCAGGGGGGCTGCTGGGTCTGGAGAGGATGGAGTCCCCTGGAGGAGAGAGTTCAGGGGAGAGAGGGGGTCCTGGGAAGGGGGGAGGTGGGTCCCTGTGCCATCAGGACCCAGGTCCTTCCTGGTAGAAGGGGAGGGGCTGCCTCAGATTCCAGTGGAAGGAAGAATTTGAGGGATGAACTCAGTGCCTTGGGAGGAGAAAGAAAGGGGGCAGGGAGATTCTGATGGGGAGGGTGTGTCCCTAGAGTCAGAGACCTGGGCCCTCCCCGCTCTGGAAGGAGCTCACCTTTCCCTCCCTGTTCCCCTAGAGCTCCAGCACTGCTGGGACACCTTCGTGGACAACCACGGCCAGGTGTTGGAGCCTAAGACTGAACTGGAAATAAACATACAGAAGCTGAAGGACATTCTCAGGTTCCTCCTCCTTCTCCCCGCCACGCCCCCTCTGTGGTCCCTCCTCCCCTTCTCTCCTTGGGCCTGTTTCTCCCTAGGGGTCACCTGCTCCCTCCTGGGCCCCAGCTCCATCCCTCCCCTCAGGGCTCACAGTCCCTCTGCTTTCTCCCCTCCTGCGCCCCTTTTCCTTCCCCTCCTGTGACTGCCCCAGACTCTGCTCTGTTCACCTTCCCACCTGCCTCACTCCCTGCTTCCTCCACCTCCTCCTTCTCCATCCAGAGTCAGGGAAACTGAAGGATGAACTTCCATCTCTCGAAACAGTCGGGGTCTTATGGTGAAGGAGGAATAAAGCACTCTCTTCAAGGAATGAAAACGCATCACGTGCCGCATCTCCAACTTCATTCACAGAAACCAGTAAAAAGCAACGAATGGGCTCATAAGGAATTTTTTAAAAATATGATTGATTTACTTTTCTTTTTTTTCCCTTTTTTTTCTTTTTTTAAAATTAAATCTTTATTGTTCAGATTACATTTGTTCCTCTTTCCCCCTTCCCCCCCCCCCCGTAACTCCCCTCCTCCCAGTTCCCGCCCCACCCTCCGCCCTCACTCCCCACCCACTGTCCTCATCCATAGGTGCACGATTTTTGTCCAGTCTCTTCCCCCATCTCCCACACCCCTTCCCCCCCAAGAACAGTTGGTCCATTCCCTTTCTATGTCCCTGATTCTATTATAATCACCAGTTCATTCTGTACATCAGATTATTTATTCACTTGATTCTTAGATTCACTTGTTGATAGATGCATGTTTGTTGTTCATAATTTGTATCTTTACCTTTTTCTTCTTCTTCCTCTTCTTAAAGGATACCTTTCAGCATTTCATATAATACTGGTTTGGTGGTGATGAACTCCTTTAGCTTTTCCTTGTCTGTGAAGCTCCTTATCTGACCTTCAATTCTGAGTGATAGCTTTGCTGGATAAAGTAATCTTGGTTGTAGGTTCTTGGTATTCAGCACTTTGAATATTTCTTGCCATTCCCTTCTGGCCTGCAAAGTTTCTGTTGAGAAATCAGCTGACAGTCGTATGTTATGGGTTGGCTCAACGAGATAGACCACCGACTCAGAATTTAAATTTGAAAGCCTTTTTATTAAGCTGGCCAGCTGACCACAGCCCGTACCTTCCACCTCTGGGAAGCCTCGCGGCATGTGGCAAAGAGCAAGCGTGCATTATGATTTTTATAGCAAAACAGTGTTCAAAGAATACAAAGCATTTCATTAGAAGTTCACAAAAAGTTCATGAGAACGGAGGGGAGGTAAACAGAGTCACACCTGGCTGGAGCGTATCATATCACATTGTTTTTCTAAGACAATCTAGCAATTTTTCTTCCATGCTCTCTGACCCTGACACAATCCTTCTACACAATCGCTCTCCATACATCAGTCCTCCTCCCAGCACATACACAATCCTCATATCCTGGCAACACAATTCTTTCTCATACATCCCCCTCTGTCCGAGCACATTCAATTTCTCATGTCTTATTTCCTCCCCTTAGCTCATTCTGTAACATTCTGTAACCCTTCCATGCCGCAATCCCTCACCCTAGCACATCGTATGGGTATTCCCTTGTAGGGAACTGTGTTTCTTTCTCTTGCTGCTTTTAAGATTCTCTCTTTGTCTTTTGCTCTTGGCATTTTAATTATGATGTGTCTTGGTGTGGTCCTCTTTGGATTCCTTTTGTTTGGGGTTCTCTGCGCTTCTTGGACCTATAAGTCCATTTCTTTCACCAGGTGGGGGAAGTTTTCTGTCATTATTTCTTCAAATAGGTTTTCAATATCTTGCTCTCTCTCATCTTCTGGCACCCCTATAATTCTGATGTTTGTACGCTTGAAGCTGTCCCAGAGGCTCCTTACACTATCTTTGTATTTTCAGATTCTTTTTTCATTTTGCTTTTCCGGTTGGGTGTTTTTGCTTCTTCGCATTTCAAATCTTTGACTTGATTCTTGTGCTCCTCTGGTCTGCTGTTGGGTGTCTGTATAATATTCTTTATTTCAGTCAGTGTATGCTTAATTTCTAGTTGGTTCTTTATCACAACATCGAGGGTCTCATTAGATTTCTTGAGGCTCTCATCAAGTTTATCGGCAGTTTCTAGAAAATTATTGAAAGCCCTTAAAAGTGCGTTTTTTAGCTCTATATCCTCCATTTCTGTCATGTTTCTTTGTCTCCGCATTTTTTATGCTTTCTTGATGCACCCCCCTTGTGGTCTTTGTGCGCAGTCTTGTTGTAGTTAAGCCTTGATTGTTGTCGGCAATACTGGGCGTGAATTGACCTCCAGGCTAACTGGCTATGAGAGTCAGCTGTGTCTGCAATGGGAGAGCTTCTGTGCTGGATCTCTAGGGTGGTGCTAATCTAGCCTTTGCCTGAGGCTATTCGGCAAATGCATCTGTGCAGGGCTTGAGCGGGGCGGGTCCCAGGGGATCTACAGGGCGGGCAGAGCGAGCAGTTATTGCTGCTCTCAGTTCTGTCCCCAGTGGCTCTGCAACCGCTGCAAACCTCGGAGAGAAAGCTGCCTTCCCGCTTCTCCCATTTGAGTCTGGGTCCCTAGAGACTCGCTCGGATCTGGAGCTCATAGTCTGAAACTCCCTCCCGATTGAAAACAACAACCGCGCCCTCCGCCGCCAGCCCGCTCCACATGCACTCCGCACCTTAGTATTTCACTTCAGCACTGCGCCTCCTCTGAGTCTTGTATGGTTTCCGCTTTCCTCCTAGTTGTAGAACTTTAACTCAGACAGCCTTCCTGTGGTTCTGGATGATGTCCGTTCCGTCTTTTAGTTGTATTTTTGAAGTGGTTGTTCGAGGCAGCAAACTCCCGCATTAACCTATGCCGCCATCTTGATTCTCGATTTACTTTTCATTTAAATTCTATGATGTGTTCCAAATACACACCGGTAACATTCTATTCGTTACTATCAGAATTATTTTTATATTTAGAGGATTAATTATTTACATTGATTTTATGAGACTGACGCGCTACCTACTGCGCTAACGAGGCACCTTACATTGATTTTAAATCTAAAGCAATAACATGAAAGATTAAGAACCTTCCACACAATGCTTTTTCCTCTGTAAGTGTTTCATGAAGTCCAAACAGTTCAATAAACACCTGCAGAAGTGAAAATGCCCTTCTCTTCTGTAGGAACCTCGGGGGAGGGCAGTGGTCACACTAATTGCCACTGGCCACGTAAAGTCAGTTATATTTATAGGAGCGGAAGCTCAAACCCAAAAGCCTAAACCCATCGACCAAGGATGTGCTGAGAGTAGTGCTGTGTGAAATGACAGCCCCTGCAATAGGAGAAGAGAAAGGCTCAGGGCCACTATTGGAAGAGCAATTGAAGTTGACATTGGCTGAGGGGAGGGCTGGGGATTACTGAGTCCTCAGGCCTTTCCAATTCCAATCCCTGGAGAGGACGCTGGAGGGAGGGGCGTCCCTGCAGACAGGATCCCTCTGCCCTTCCCAGGACCTGGCCCACACAGGATGCAGTGCAGGCAGCAGCTGTCTGTCCTGCCGTGTCTCTGTGGAGCCTGAATCATGCTGAGCGAGTCCCTGGCAGCAGGCATCCTGCACAAGGCCTTACAGGCAACGAAGGCTCCCAGGTCTCTCACCACAGGCTTCTGCTCACATGTCTGGACCTCCCCCCTCCCCCCCCCCCCCCCCCGTAAAACCTCAAAAAGGATGGTGGGGCTGGGACTTAAACCCTTAATTTAGAGGAAATTGGAGGATAAAAAATAAGGCCAGGCTTATTGTTTTGGGCAAAACAGTAAGAAGGGACTTGGGCCGGAGGACCCAAACCCGGGGGAAAAACTGTTAAAAAAGTAACCTAAAAAATGAAAAAGAAGAGAAGAGACAGAGAGGGTGTGGGGTGCGATGGGGAAAGGATGGAAGTGGGCGGGACAAAAGCAGGGCTGGGGGCCAATGGTGGGAGACAAGGGGCAGGAATGAGATCAAGGACAGAAGGCTGGGTTGTCAGGGGACTGTGGTCGCCATGGAGGGGCTGAAAGTCAGCTTGTTTCCCAGGACAAGACCTGTGGGAGGAGGAGGACAGTGTGGGCCTGGTCAGCCAAACAGTGATGCTATTGGAATCTCTCCCCAGTCCTGAGCCCCAACTCAGCTCTGGGGGGTTGTCTCCTCCTGCTGGTCTCCTCCAAGCCTCAGATTGGGGCCACCTCCACATCTGAAAGTCGGGCCTGATGCTTCCAGCTCTTTCTCTGCCATTTACTGACCCCATTCCCTCAGGATGGAAGAGGATGAAGGAGAGTTTTTTGTTTGTTTGTTGACAGACAGATCCTGCCCCAGGTTTATTTGTACAATCAGCACAGGAGGGCACCAGGGCCACGCAGACAGCAGCCCAGGGGCCCCCCAGTCCTTCCGTCCTCACGTCGGCAGACAGAGGCCTCTACTGTGGAGCCTTCGTGGGACCTGGGCTACTTTGGGAGCAGGTGCCTGGGTACCTTTGGGATCCTGAACTTCAACCTGACGCACAGCCTGGGTCTTGGTTTCCGCCTTGGCCTTGGCCTTTGGCCGGCAGAGCATAGTCCTCTTCCCAATGTAGGCATGAGCACGTTTCCCAGGCTTGGGGTGAGCAATTTCGGCAGGTCGACTGAGTTTGCGGCGGCAGCCCTTTGGGGTATTGGACCTGGGCTCCTTGACACAATTCCTCAACGTTTTCTCAGATCACCAATTTGTAAGAAAAAGAAAAAAGAACAGGCAGAGTTTCTGCAATGATGTTAAATTGCAAGATAGTATTTCCCATGTTTAAATGCTAAGAATAGTTTCATATCAGTGAGATGTCCCTGCCACCTGCCTTCCTTGTCTGTTTTGCAGGTTTTTGCCATTATGGTAGGGGCGGGGCAATCAGTGAGTGCCACCCTCAGCCACACCATGATTGGGTCGGAAGTGCACATGTGACCTAAATCCGTCCAATCAGTGTGAACCTCAGGACTTTTTCCTGGGAATTCTGGGACACACCATTGGTTTGGATGGTGTGTGGTGAACATGTGGGGCTTGGTGCTGCTGTAACCATTTTTTAAAAAATGGTTTATAAAACTTGATTTCAGAGAGAGAAACATGGATGGGTTGCCTCTCATAGGGGCCCCCACCAGGGATGGAACCCACAATCTAGGTATGTGCCCCGATGGGAGTTGTACCCACAGCCTTTTGGGGTAGAGGAGGACGCTCCAACCCGCTGAGCCCCGCAGCCAGGGCATTTTTCTACCTCAGGGAGCTGGTCTGAAAAGAAGCCAACACAAGGGCACCTGCAGCGGGAAGGAGCCCGAGCCCTGACCTCATTAGTCCCAGTCGTTGGTAAGTCCACCTGGAATGGGTGT